TTCATTTTTTTATATTTTTTTTATTTTAGTTCTACTTAAGAAATATGAATTATAATAAAACTCAAAACCCATGAAATATTAATAATAAAATCTAAGCTTTAGAAAATTGTTATTAAATTTGAAAATATCAAAATTTTGTTGATTCTTGAATAATTAGTTTAATGATTTCTTAGTGCTCTGCCCAATTTTTTTTTTTTCCTTAACAAATTTTATTGTCATGTTGTTTTTTTTTTTACAAATTATACTTATTTTAAATAAGTTTTATTAACTTGGTCTTTTTTTTTTTCTTTTTCTTTTTTAATTTGTTGCTAGTTAAACTTTTTTAAGAAATAATATTCCAATTAAAAATAAAATTGTGTAATTGATTCTAGCCTCAAGCGAGACCTCAACAGCCTATCACAGGTTATAACAGATACGATCAGGAAAGGTTTAAAGGAAAAGAAGGTATGATTACTACCATGTTACCTTAAGTTATTGAACAAATCTGTACTACACCTATTTTTTTTTCTGATTTACTAAAATTTGATTGTGATCAAGAATAAAACTAACTAAATAAACTTTTTTTATTTGTTGCATTGGAAAAATGGTATTTTTGCATGTGTTCTTTTCTAACAATATTGTGTTCCTTTTTTTCATACTTTAGAAACTGAGGGTTTCAAAATTGATACTATGGGAACTTTCCACGGCATGGCCTTAAAGTCTGTAACAGAAGGAGCCCAGGCTCGTAAGATGCCCCAGCCTGTTCCTCAACCTGCACCCCAACCAGCTCCAGTCATTCAGCCTGTGTCCAGGCCAGTTTCCCAGGCCAGACCACCACCGAATCAAAAAAAAGGTAACATCCATTGCATTCTTCTCAGAACATTGATTGGAAGTTTTATTTTTAAATACAATATTTTCTTGCTGATATCTTCAAATTTTTATCATGTATGATTTTGTCTTTTCAGGCTCAAGGACACCAATTATAATTATTCCGGCAGCTTCTACATCTCTAATTACAATGTTAAATGCTAAAGACATTCTACAAGATTTGAAGTATATTTATTTGTTGTTGTTTGTATGCTTTCATATTTATTTTGCATCGTTAGGGGCTTTCATTTCATCTTTGTCTTCTACAAAGTTTGTTTTTTTGTCTTTTTTTTGTGAACCTAGAAGCTCTTGTGTAGTATCTGTCATAGAAAAATAGCATGATGTTCTATTCATCTGCTTTTTTAGCTACCATAAAAGGTGTCTGTAGGGTTTGTCTGTGATAGGATAATTTATAGCATTAAAAAGGAAACACTAGTTTTATGTGTTGGAACAATGTCAACAGTGGTAAGGTTAGCAGAGATTATTTTGTCAAATTAGAATTACTCTAGTCCTTGTATTAAATTAAAACAGTTTGTTTGCCCCTGTTTGGAAGGGATATATTTTAACATTTAATGTGGTTTTTAAGGTCCCACTAGTTTATTGATTCTTTTTCTCTTGCTGGTCATTATTTCAATTCTTTCAACAGTACAAATATATTGGTCTCTTGTTTAGACATTCAGTTATTTAATAGCTATGTGTTGGGGATTTAATGGTGTATATTTTTGAAATGACAGATTTGTCAGCACAGAGGATAAGAAAGCACAGGGTGCTAAGAGAGACAACGAGGTGTTGATTCATAGAAGAAAAGATGGAGGCCTGACAGTGCCCTACAGAATCATTGATAACCCTCTCAAGCTGACACCAGACGATTGGTAGGTAGTCACACCTTAATAGTAAATAATAATTGAAATGTCTTCAGTTCTCACTATGGATTAGTGCTGCATATTTTTCCACATCTGATGCAGGCAAAGCCGTTGTCCCGTGTGAATCTATTTAAGTTCACTTTTTCTACATCTTTCTTCCATCTGGGCCTCAAAGTGTGTTCTGCAGCCTTCGTGAGAGCTCTCTATCTCTTTCAGAGGCCATCTGCTTGATTCTAGCCACTTAGTAAATTATCTCTTTATATTGATTTGGTTTTGAGTGTCTTAAATCTGGCTTATTTCAAAATGTTATCTTCATTCCCATCGTTGTGTCGTATCAACACATTTATCGTTATTTTTTAAATCAGCTAATTAAGACCTTAACATCATCTGACCTATAGTCCACAAGGTCTGAGTGAAATTTTACTTAATAGTTTAAAAACATAGTCTTATCAGCCTGGACATTATTGAAGATTGTAGACTTCAAGTTCACTGTTGAGACTAAGGTTCATATATTTTTGAACCATTTTCTGACAGTAGCAATTCAAATCTTTTTTTTTTCTGCATCTTATGGTGGAAGACTACCTATTAATCTGCTTTCTTTCTTATGGGATAATTCAAAGTATGATTAAACAATTTTACTTAGTTTTAGAAACTGTCAGGAGACATTTTCATTTGAAATTTGCTACAAACTTTTAGCTTTTTATTTGTGATCCATACCACCAGTTTTACAAATCTCATATCAAATCAATCTCATTTTATTATCCTTCAGGGACAGAGTAGTGGCTGTATTTGTACAAGGTCCTGCTTGGCAGTTTAAAAGTTGGCCATGGAATGGAAACCCTGTGGATATTTTTGCAAAAAGTTGGTTTATTTTTAAAATAATATAATATAAATGCTTAATTACCCTTATAAAACCCTGCTACTTTGCCAGCTTTCAAAAATGAATTTATTTGCCCTTTTAATGTTTTTATTTTTTACATCCGAATTTTTAAACATTAGTTGTTGACTTGAAATGTTCTATTTAGTTAAAGCTTTCCACCTGAAATGGACTGAGCTACCCACAGATAACAATGTCCAGAAGTGGTCGGTGAACATTATGAACTTAGACAGGCATCGCAGACATTTAGATAGAGCAACGCTTCAGAGATTTTGGGAAGTACTTGATAAGTAAGTCTTTTAGTTTTAGCAGACAATATTTCTGCCTTAGTTTAGTAAATAGGCACAGTTTATTGCTATCAGTTTTTAATTTAAACAAAACTTTTCTTTAAAATGTACTTGAATTAAGAGGTTTCAGCATTGCAGTTTCTGTGTTTTTAATTGATATTTCATAAAGATTTTCTTTGAAATTGAATGTTCTAATTGGCGAGATAAAAACAATTTGACAAACCCATTAGAACATTGGTATTGAAGCAACTCAATGAAAAGGATTCAGACATGGTGAAGATGTTACTTTACTGTAGTAGGATAAAGGGAGGATAAAACAAAACACACAATACTCGTCACATCTTGGCTCTTCACAGTTATCTGTAGGTGGAATAGTTCTCACTTGTCTATAACTTGCCTACTCTGCGGTTACAACGCAAAACCCAGAATGTTTGTCACATACTGCTACACTGCAGTTTTGCAAATAAGTCTTTATCTCCCTCAGATTGGCATCCCAAAGCTTTCTCTACCACATAATGTTTAATAGCAACCTTCATAAGAGAATTACTTTTACAGTGCAGGATGATAGGACATCTCTTTCTCTCTTTTTGGACAGAATCCTTTTATCACGTTGGCAGAAATAGTTCTCTTAAGCATTTATTATAATGTGTTAACAGCACTGTTCTGAACACTGCTCACCTTTGGCATGATGATAGTGGTGGTGCACATAGCAGAGTTACAAAAGCATTTTGAAAAATCCTTTTTTTTTCTTTAATGTTTCAAATACCGAAAATGGGCAATTAATTAATCTATATGCATGTTCCAAAACTGCATCGGTAGTAAGCTGAATAATTTTACAGCGATGTATATGATTTTTAAAAGTACACTAGAATATATGCTCTTTGATAAACATTAAGTTATTTATTCACCATGTTGTCTACTCCACAGATATATGGTCCAGAATAAGCCTCATCTGCGCTACTAAGACTGAAGATTAAAAGCTTAATTTCTCAACATGTTTGGCAACATATATCAATCTACCTGTACTAACTTCTCTGTCACCCATCTCTTCTTGTTCATTGTTTTTCTTTCCTAGAGATTCCATCGAGCAGATCATTGTTTTGCTCAAATTGTGTTACTAAATTCTATGACTATTGGCGTTTTTGGTCATGCTTTAGAATTGTACAGGCCAAAGTTGCTGGTGGATATTCTAGCTGTACCTGACATTCAGCTAAGGGCAGCATTTATTGTTATCACAGAAAAGTTATCAGTAATAAAATTTGGTTGTATATTTAGCAATTACACAGGCTTTTTAGCTATTACATAGGGGCTATGGCTGACCACTCCAATTACAGAGCTAGCAAAAAGTTTTGTTCTAGTCCCTTGTTCAACTTTTCTCTTGACTACACACAACTCAGTCCTGACCTGTTACACAAACACATTTACAGTAAGATGCCTCCCCCCTCCCTACAGATCTAGACTGGCTAAGTTATTCATATTTTCCTTAAATTGTCATGGTAAAAGAGTCAAGGCTGATGTTAAAATGAGAATGCTTTTCATTGTAAACTTTAATAGGAGTGAGTCAAGGTAGGCAAGGCAAGTACAAACCTAATTGTCCAGGCTTTGAATCTTTGTAAATTTTCATTTGATAATAGAGGTTTCTGTTGAACTTAAGCATTTTGTTTAGAATGTCCCATGAGCTACACAAATAGTTCTGTATGAATCAAGGCCAAGAGGAGGAGGTGATGGAACTTGTGAACACATTGACATTTGCAAATCTTAAGTACAGTTCATATTTTGTGTAATCTTCAAACATTTAGAATTGTCCATTTTTTTTTTTTATTGAATGGTTTGGCAAAAAAAAAAGTGTGTGTAGAGACCTATATTATTTCTTAGACCTTTTTATACTGTTATCATTGATCAATGCAGAGTTGTCCAGTTTTTAACAACGCAGTTAGAACTTTTATAAATCATTCAGTTTACTGTAACCATTTAAGTAAAGACTTTTTACAAAACTTTTTGTACCTGGTATCTCAGCTGTGGTTACCTTGAACTTCTGATGTCCTTTTTCAGGGATGAGCATGTGCATCTCTGTGACACTTTTTGGTCACCTTCTCCCTCATTTACAGTTAGTTAAACAGCCCCCCCCCCCCCCCCCCCCCCCCCCATCTTTTATGTCTCCAAGCTGTCTTAAACCTCCACATCTTTTCTCATGATTTTTTTTATAAACACTCTCATTCTCATTTGCATTGACTATCTGGCCCTTTAGTGTGTTTAGAGCCTACATGTACAGAAATAGTATGAATAAAGTAAAGAGTGAAGCATTAGCAAAACTTGTAAAATATTCCTAAATGGTAATGGCCCAAAAAGATTCATTTAACCCAAAAAAAAAAAAATCCCAATTGTATTTCCTGAGGTAGAAAAAAGTGGTTGTCAGTAGGAAATAAAATTGTCATTCAATGGAATGTACAGATGTCAATTGCAGGCTTTCACTTAAACCTTCATTAAAAACTGTCCCAGTCAATGGCAGTGGAGAACTTGGAAGGTTACTTTGACATAGAAATATTACAATAGAGAATTATGTTTACACTGGATTATTTTAACAGGAACATTATTTTAATATATAGGGTAGTTATATAACATGATTCAACTATTTTTGTATTAACATTTTTAAAGTATGTTTTCATTGAAAATATCATTTTGTGGCTAGGATGTTATTCCTTCATAACATAGCATTGAGTTGTCCATTGTCAGTCCATTCATGTATATTTTGTATATGACCAACCCTGTATGTATTGTATATAACTTATTTGAATTATGACATGCAAAAAAAAAATCATTTAGACTCATTAGCTTTTGTTTACCTCAGTATCAAAAAGTATGGCCTATACATTCACACAAACATAGACATGTCTCACTGGTGTGTTGCTTCAAACTATTTTCTCTTCCCCCCATATAAAGCAGTAACACATCAACTTTGATTAGGATTTGAATCATTTCCTTTCTTAAATCATTGCCTGGGTTTCATTGGTGGCTGACATGATACACACCTTGATTTTTTTTTTTTCGTTTGTTGATATTGTTTTGTCATCCATTATTCGATTCATCAGATCATTAAAACCTATCAAACTAGACATCCTGTTTATAGTTACTTTTATTCTATTGAAGTGCCTAGTCATATACAATAACAGTTAAGACTTAACAATATGAATAAAATACATAAATGAATCAGTTCTTGGGTAACGGTATATATATTTTACTTTTTTTAGACCAGTGTTTCCCAAATTTATTAGTGGATAAATAAATATATATATATATTTCTTATTCTTTTATGACTTAATTCCTAAGTAAATGCAGAAATATAAAATTGATTTTGTTTTCTCTTCTTGATAACAGAGAAAAAAATGTACTAATCCTACCCAAATTTAAAACAAAGATCAACCATTAAATGATATGAATTTGAAGAGTATCACAAAATGTTTAAATAAGCTAGTTATTTTTCTTCAGTTTCTTTCAACACCTTTGTGCAAACTATTGTGATTTTATTTTCTTTAAATTTAAACAGAAAAAATTCCAACATTCTTAGAATGTATGTAGTGTTCCCTTAAAGAACAATTTGGGAAACTTTGTTTTAGTTTGTTTTGCTGTCTAAGCCATGGAAAATATTATTTTAATACACCTTGCATACAGAGTGTTGGCTCTACTTGGTCATTGGGTATAATGGAGTCATGTCTGCAGTGAGACATAATAAAGAATACAGAACTATAAGGGTTGGAGATGTGTAAGAGGTATATTCTGTTTAGTTGTAGTTTCCCTGTAATGGAACAACTACTAGACTACCAATAACAAGGCTTTACTCGACAAGACTGCAGTAGACAGTGAACGAGCACAAACATATCTCACACGACATTGCATAACTACTATGAACACACACACACACTGGACATGACCTTCTGACACACGCAGAAAATAAACAACCCAGTTACACTACACTGACATTGCAGTCTATAGGGCAGATGATGATCACATACTTTTCTCCAACTAATGTCAGGTACCCACTAGAGCTGGGTGGACTCAGGCATCCTAAAGATCCCGAAATTAAAAATGCCAGTCTTCGCTTGGACTCAAGCAAGTTTGGAAGCCAAATGCTTTACCACTCAGCCACAGTGCCTCCTGTATTCTGTTTAGCTTCAAATTTAAAAGTTTTAAGTCCTTTTCTAAGTTGCTTTCTGCAGGAGGAGGAAGTTATTGTCTACTTTATTGGTCATGTTCATTTCTGTTTGGCCTGTGCGACCTAATTCTCAGCTCTCTTTGTATAGTTTGGCGGATTTGGCTGGCAGCTGTCTGTCTGTATGGAAAATATATAAATATGGAAAATTTATTGCACATGACAATATCTATTATTATATCTTTTAAAACTTCACTGTGATTATAAATGAAACTAATTAAATTGCTATAAGTTTACTTGAAACGAGAAAGCATTACAGCCTACAAAGTAAACCCTGTCCAACTCATACACAAATTTTGTTATATGAAAAAAAAATATTTGTTTGAGTGTTTACTTAGTTTCCAAAGGCTGTGTTAGTGTAAAACTTAATGGCTAAAAAAATACTTTGTTACTCATTATTTGATTCTTATTTATCAACTCACTCTGTCTGGTACAATGTACATTTCTCCCACACCCAATCTCAGATCAAGTGGAAATTATTTATTGTTCCTAACAGAACATGAATCAAAAAATTAATTTTTGGTAATAAATTATTTTGTTTTGCATCGAAAAAGGGAAAGAAATGCTTCCTATTCAGAGATGTGGCTGTATACGTGGCATCATGTTCCATATGTTTTGTAAACGTTTTTTTTCCCCATTTCCAATTCTCAGATCAAGTTGAAATTATGCATAACTACTCATAACTCAGCATTCATAGCTAGGTCAGATGATCACAGAGGTTGGTTGAACCATTCCGTAGCAAGCCATTTTTGCCATTTACTTATCATTAAATCTTGTTGGATTTGAGTCCAGTCATGGCTGTAGAAGCGGCAGGGTTATCTATGTTACTCACCAAATAATGCTAAATTTGATACCTAGTTGACTAAAAAGAAAACTATTATTTCAAGTATGGAGGACTTCTCTAATCAACACCACTTTTAAAGCAAAAATAAAGCAAGTTTAAGGGAATATAGTTTGAACTACTTCTAGATAATAGGTAGTAATTTATCTCATGTCCATCTCATGAATACCTTTTGCCTGTCAGTGGCTCAACTACAAGATCTGCTATCTTCCCAAACTTACATTAAAAAAACAAATTATATAAAATCTTAGCCTCTGAGCAAATTAAGTTCTGTTGCACAGCCTGATAAATAAGTTGAATTTGAAATGTGGCTAGAAATATTTAGACATTAAAACACATTTAATGAAAGAAATCTCAATTCCTTGTATTTTATTGTAAATAAAAGCATGGAGTAAATGACATGCAGAACTGCAATCATGACACAAAAAGCAAATTAAGAAAACAATGAATCAATTATTTTTGTCAAGGAAATAGTCTCAGTACAGTGAAACACAAAACATAATCCAAAGTTTTCATCAAGAGCATTGCAGTTTTAGACTTCCTATTACAAGTGACACAAGACAATCAAGTTCAGTCACTGGGTGTATATCAGGAGAGATGAGCTTTGGCTAATACTTGAGTACCACACTAGATCAGCAGATAATTATTGCACTAGAGCTTCATTTCAGTGTCAAACAACCGTCTGGACAGGGGGAGCCGCATGTTGTAGGGTTTGAATGGAATCTACATGGGAATATGAAGTGGGTGCCTCTTTCTTCAGACTTGATGCTCTACCACTCAGCCACAGCGCCTCCTGTATTCAATTCAGTTCAATGGAGAAAATACTTCAAACAAATGTTTCCAATAAAAACACAAAAATAAAAATATTCACGTGATTAAATTTAAAAAAATAAATTAAAAAATGTCTGAAAAAAGGTGGACTTTAAGGCAGTTCTTTTTTTTTTTTTAAATTTTAATTTTCACACTGATGTAGTTTTAGTTTCTTCATTGGTTTAAATTTTGTATTTCAGGTTAATAGTTTAGTGATAACAAGAGCTGCACTGACTACCATAAAAATACAAAAGCAACAAAACCTTATGTAAGATTATGGAACAATTCATCTTCTACTACAAATGATTATTTACAATCTTTAGAAGTATAAAAAAAAAAAAAGTAAGTTCGAATAAAAAAATTTTAAAAAAAGTAAATAACTTCAAGAAATCATGATCTAAACAATGAAAGATTTTTCTTTTTCAAATCAATTAATTAAAAAAAAATTCTTTGACGTACCTATTTTAACATATAAAAAGTAAGGGCATCACTCTAGCATTGTATACAGGGTGGCCCAAAAGTGGGTTTACAGATATTAAACTACCTTTCACATGAGTCTTGAGTATCAAGAATGTTGCCATGTTGAAGGAAGACTTTTTGAAGTATCCGAGAGATTCAATTGTTTTATGTTTATGTTATAACAGGAATAAAAAATTTCCCGCTGTTCTAGTGTCAAAGTTTCATATAAATACTCTGCCTGATAACTGTAAACCTACTATTGGGCTACCCTGTACTTCCTGGCTCCTAACAACTGCAACCCACTAATTGAATGACAACCAGAAAAGTTTACATCAGAAATGTTTCGTTAGTCATGCCTGAGGGACATCCAAAAGTTCAACAATTTGCACCAACTATAATGTTGGATGAGAATGTAGTCAATTGTACACTCTACTAGACATATAGACATTAACATAGGCTTAATACAAAGGTGGCCACATTTGATTTAGCTAAAACAGGAACCTATTAATAAGTGTAAAATTTAGCTAGTTTATTAAGTTATCAAGCAAACAACTTCAATTAAAAAAAACATTTAGTTGAAACAACTATGCCAATTTTTAATTATCACAGCACAAAAATAGAACTCATTTTGTCCCCATTAGCTTTAAAAAACTTTAGGCTTTAAAAATGTTGACCACTTGGAAATACAAAAGTGAAAAACAAACAAAAAAATTAAAAAGGTACAAATAAAACAATCAAGTTTTACTTTAAAGAAATAAGTTTTTGTGGGGTTTTTTAAAAACAATTTTTTGTAAATTGAATTAAATCCTCTGATTATTCTCACATTTCAAGTTTATCTATTACAAGTTCTTGAATAAAACAATAATTAAAGAGCTTCCATGACCAAAATACATCTATTAATCTGAAACAATACATTAGTGACAGTAGTAACAGCAAACTCAAATGAACAACAAAATAAAAAGCATAAGAGTACCACTTATGGAAGCTGGTGTCAATAGAAAACATTATTGGTAAAATAAAAGCAGCTGATTTGATGCTTTAAAGAATACACATGAAAAAAAGAATCGAAATTCCTAGCATCAACTTACACAAAAACAAATTTGACTTCACATAGCAATTTAAAAAATCAACACATACACAGAAAAGATTTGGTTTCTTATGACCTTTAAAACTTTGTAAATCAAAACTTTACCAACAAAATGTGTTGAGCAGGCCCCTTAAGTTCGCAGTAAAACACCTAGATCTAGGTATAAATGCAAAGACAACAGATATTTAAACAAATAAAATGATTATCTACATAAAGCTAATTTAAATATATAAGAAAATGTAACATTTGTCTGTATAAGCTTAAGAGTATAACTTGATTACCTTATTTCAATGACGTATAAGATTACAAAATAAATGCTGACTGAATATAAACAATTAAATTAAATCCAGCCTCTATATGTAGGTCAATTAAGGAAGACTTGTAAGTCCAATTTATTTTGATTCACATTTGTTGAATATACTCATATTATTTGATTATTACGCCTTACATGATTTTTATTATGGTTTTGTTTGTGGTAGATGCTTCAGATGTTCCTTCAGAATTGAAGATTATTACATCCTTGCTCATACCTCCTGCAGGGAATGATGGCAGGCAAGGGTCAAACTGATGCCCATAAACACAACAGCCTAGAGCACTATCTTATGACCAGACAGCCATCCTGTGTTCTCATAACAAGTCATAAAACTTCATTTTAATCTATCATTCAATCAATCATTCTGAAACTACTTTAGTGTTTGATGTTTGTGTTAGAAGAAAGATCAAATCAAATTGTTTACAGGAATCAAGTCAATGTCTAGTCCTCAATTTTATATTACATATTATTTATATGCTGAACATTTAGCACATTTACAAATATCATAAAACAGAAACATAAGGCACAAATATCACAGTCAGATATAATATACCAGGAAATAATGGCAATATATGTTTAAAATATTTTTTTTTTCAAATTCTGTCTTGCCATTTATGATATCTACAAAA